CCCTTAATAATAAAAACCTTCATTTAAAAACTGCATTTTGTGTTTACTTGTGTTGTCTTTGTCTAATATTTCAATTTGTTTGATGATCTGAAACATTTCAGTGTGACAATCATGCAAAAAAAAAAGAAATCAGGAAGGGGGCAAACACTTTTTCACACCACTGTACTTATACAAAGTATAAAAAAAGAATTACCTCCTATATATCAAGTGCTTTCAGAGCACTATATCATTGTACAGAATTATATGTTACCTGCTGTGGAGCTTTGAGTGTTATCCCTGTCTCTGTTCTCACAGATGTCAGAGTCACTGATACCACCAGGGTAGGATGGGGGATATAGCGGGACATTGACACTTCCTGAAGCAGTTCAACACTGGCTGTAGGGTTTGGGCTGAAAAGTACACCAGATATCATAAACAGGTGGACATTACATGAGCAATTACATTACAGTAGAGGCTCATTTTTAAACAGAAACACACCTGTCTTGCTTCCTTTCAATGCTGTAGAGACAGATGGAACAATCTGCCCTAAACAAGATCACCATGTTCCGGAACACATTCAGCAATAGTGTATCTGAATGCAATTTGGTTATGTTGGCAAAGGCGTTGTCAAGGTTAGCGGACCTCAGGTAAAGTCTTAGCTAAAAAGAGAAAAGACATCTCAAGTAAATTATCTCATAATATTGCTTAAAATTAGTCAGTTAACTAAATCCAGGGAGAAATCACACAAAACACGTTTCTTTTTTATATGAGACTCCATTGGAAAAAAAAACAATCTAGCAAAATATATGATAAAATCTGAGTGTTAGTAACACCTAATTTCATAAAGGAAGCCAAGAAGAAAATAATTATAGAGTTGAAAGTTTCAAAGCTACTAACACTGGTAATAATAAAACTCAAGTTTTTACAGTGAAAACTAAGGAGAGAACCAATGTAATAATGCATTGAGTTCTCCAAGTCTCATTTTCAAAGCCAAAGACATCTTATAGTGTTCTGTAAGATCCTTGTGGCTAAAACTGCTGTACATTCAATGAATGCAATACAAACATGTTCTTATCTGTAATAATTACCATCTAGAATTTGAAATGCACTACTGTCCAATAGAATTTACCTCTTCTTGTTGGTCAATTAAGTTGTAACATGCAATTACAATGAAGTCCTTCCACCATGCTAAACCACCAGTCACCATCATATTTTGCTCCTGAAGTGGAAGAAAATAAGATAATCTCAAAGAGTAATTCTGTTATTATTTCATGAATATTCTTATTTTTTTATTAAGTAGGTATGCTTTGCAGTGTGTAAAACTGAAATGCATTGAGTGTAAAAAAACCAAAATGTGAACAAAGATTTTGTTAATTTAATTTGCATTTATTTTTGTCTCATAAAGGCAGTATTTATTTGTTACAGATGTTGTGGTGGTTTTGTGGAAAGCAAATACGCTTTCAGCACAGATTGAAAGTCAACCAAATTTACTTGTGGTTATATGCTTTTTAAAGGGTCACATTTATCCTGTTCCACAGAGGTGGACAAATGTGCAAACAATTATTTCAGAATTTTTTCACTTTTAACATTAGAGCTCTTCAGCTTCTGCAAAGTAGATGTTTTAAAAATACATCCACCCAAACACTGGAGATATATAAGCATACATATTGTGTTTTAAATATATTAAATTGTTTCATTGTACTTTCAATATATGCAATGCCACCCTTGATATTTATACAGGTTATGTCTTGTTTTGCTTAGAGAAATTCCAGGCTTGACTGTACACAAATATTCTAATTTGGCAAGTGAAACCAATATCAGCATGTACTGAAAAACATTATACTGATAATTGTGTAGTGGAAAAATAATTTGTGCTCTCTAACATAAAAAAAAGATGTAACTTATATTTATGGATCCCTTGATAACACATTTTGTAGGAGCAAGATGTGAGCAAACACATTCTAAAAAAACTCCCACCTGGGTAATATTTCCAAACAGCTTCCATTTCCTTGTGTATAAGGAATAGTGTGCAAACCCACATCTCCCTGCTATTGCCACACACTGTCCCAGTGTGTCTATGGCTGCAAACTGCAAAAAGCATAAGAACAGCAAAAGAAGTCTGTGAAACACTGAGGATCTTTACAGGAAAGGGGAAATGAGATCAAAAGCACTTGGCGTACTAGGGCAGAAAATCCAGCTCCTCTTTGTGTGCAGGACTCATTTCACTGAACACAGTACAATGCACAAGGATGTGAAGGCCCTCTCATTAAAGTATTTCTTTAATACTTTTAAGAGTTACTTTAATTCTTTTAAGATTAACAGGTGATTTCCACAGTGGAGACAGACCCTCAATTCAACCTCTAAAAAGCAGCACCTGCTAGAGCACATTATTGACAATATTACTTTTCAGTGCCACGAAAAGCACTTGTAGAGAATTCCTCCACAAAGTCCTGTTCATCTGTCAAAACAGACATTACACTCTAAAATGAAGACACTGTACACTCTTCTTCACATGTACAACAAGAGGATTTCCATTCCAGTACAAGGATCAATACTAGTAGTACAGACAGAAAGAGACTCACCCTTATTGGCCAGTTACTCTCTAGATATGTGCTGTGAATCTACAAGGAAAATAAGAAAAATATTTAAAAGGTAATACACGCAACATTATTAATTTGTCAGTGAATTATCAACTTAAAATCTAAAACAACCTGCCTTAGATTCTTAATTTTAGATTTTTGTTTAAGAATGAAAGGCTAGTTGGGGTGGATTTGAGAAAATCTAAAACGTAAGCTTGAAAATGAAAGCTAAAGCCCAGTTACTGAATATCCTCCTTGTTTAAAAAAATATATATAAAATTCAATTTAATAAGAATAATTAAAAGTGCTTTACAGGTAAAAGGGACTCTCCTCCAGCACCACCAATGGGCAGCCCAACCTGGATGATCCAATGGCAGCTTTAGTGCGCCAGAACGGTCACCACACATCAGCTGTCAGTGGGGAGGATAACAGGGTGATGAAGCTAATTCACAGATGGGATTAGGAGGCCATGATTTATAAAGGCCAATGGGAAATGTGTCCAGGATGCCTCTTTTCGAGAAACACTCTGGGTTTTTAATGACCACAGAGAGTCAGGACCTCGGTTTTATCTCTCATCTGAAAGACATTACTATTTACTGTATAGTGTCCCCATCAATATACTGGGGCATCAGGACCCACATAACCCGCAGGATGAGTGCCCCCTGCTGACACTACTAACACCTCTTCCAGCAGTAACCTTAGTTTTTTCCAGGACTTCCGCCATCCAGGTATTGACCAGGCTCATACCTGCTGAGCTTCAGTGGGCTGCCAGTTGTGAAATGCAATTTAATGAATGTATGCTGAGATAATTTACATGTACTAGCACATTCAGATTATAGAAACCAGACCTCGGCAGTAAATGGATTACCTGGACTACATGCCAATGCCTGTGTCCCAGTAAAGTGCTTAAACCCTGAGATACCGAAGCAGAGGTGTGGAGAGGGCTCATCTCTCTGGGCAGCCTGTGCTCTGTACTGGTGCTATGAGCCTGGGCATGATCTCCACACGTCAGGTACAAGCGATCTTCTCCATGCAGCAGAACCTGCTCCTGGTTACTCTGGGGGAGAAAAAGGAAACATGAACATTTAAATCAGAAAGTAGAGCCAAAGGGCAAGATTCTTTCCTTTTGCCCATTAACCATAATTTAAGCATTTCAAAAAGTATTCAAACCCATCCAATGGCATCCCATTGTGTGAAACAATGATTTGTATACATTTTTAAACGTAATATTTTGTTCAAAACCTGAATGCTCTAAGTGGGGAAAGTCGCCATGGGCACCTGGATGGGACCAAGCTATGCCAACATTTTTGTCGGCTGGGTAGAAGAATGCTTCTTGGTTTCCTTTACTGGCTTTGTCCCTGACCTCTACAAGCGATACATCGATGACTGCGTCGGTGCTGCTACATGCTCTTATGACCAGCTAGAGCACAGCCTGCATCAATCCTGCATAACTAACTCTCACCTGTCCCTCAAATACACAGTTAACATATCTTCTAGACAAAAATTTATCTGTTAACCCATCCATGACTCTCATCCTCGGTCTATTACAAACCCACAGATTCACACAGCTATCTCCTGTACAGCTCTTTTCATCTAACTCTCACAAAAACCTTTTTTTCACAGTGCCTCAGGCTACGTCGACTCTGCAGTGACAACATGGATTTCCAGAACCAAGCACTCAAAATGTATTTTTTTCCATCAACAGAGAATACCTCACCCGGGCCAAAGACAGCCCACGGATCATCAACTCGACCAGGAACTCTCGGTCTCAGAAACGCAATCCTTTTGTGCTTCCCTACCATTCTAACACACTTTCTATCCCCATGACCATTATTAACAACTACTCCATTTTACAGGGCGATCCCTCCATCGGTACCCTTTTTTCTAACCACCCAATCATCTCATACTTCCAACCACCTAATCTACATAAACGTCTGGTTCATAGCTCCCGCACTCGGCACTCGGCAATCATCCCCACCAGGCACCTTCCCCTGCAACAGAACTCGCTGCATCACCTGCAAATAGATATCTAACAACATGCTCGTTCATGGACCCTCAGGTCAATTCTGGATCACCCAGACGACATCTTGTACCTCCAGCAACCTCATTTACTGTATCTCTGGCAAAAAATGCCCAGCTATATACGTTGGGGAAACAGGAAGGAGACTAGGGGACCGCTTCAGAGAACATGTTTGGGCTCTGAAGATTAACAATTTCTCCAAGCCCGTGGTTTCCCATTTCACCTCAGATGGCCATGATCACACTGATCTCTCTATTTTCAAAGAAGGGTTTTTCAACTATAGCACAAAAACAATGGAAACTAAACTCATCCTGAAACTAGGTTCACACCACCCCCTTTTCTCAATGAGCAACTTATTTTCATGTAATCTTCTCTATTCTCATGCAGGTTTTGACTTCACACCTTTCTTCACCCTTCCCCATTTTGCACTTCCTCTGCCCCTCCTGCCTCCTCCCCTCTCCTAGCTTCTGTGCTATTTAATCTTTGCTGCCTGCCCTGTATTTCTCACACCTGAAGAAGGCTTCACAGTCGAAACATTGTTTTCTCTCTTCTCTTTTCAGCATGGAATAAACCTATTTCTTGTTCCTTTGCAGACTACGCATTCTGACGCAGCTACCCACCTGAATTAAAGCTACAAGTCATTTCGAATGAATCTACACTAACTTTAAACACCGGCTTAATGTGATTTTTACCCATTTTCCTTGGCAGATTAGCCGTAACTCTCTGAAATTGCTTAGGGAATAGTTAAGCACAGGTTTCAAGTCTTTCGATAGATTCTCAAAGGATTAAAATCAAGACTTTCCCTGAGCCATTCAAGGACATTGGCTTTCTTATTTTGAAGCCAGTGTAGCTTTGGATTATTTTCCTGGTGAAAGGTCAATTTTTGTCCTTATTTTAGGCAGGTTTTCTAAGATTTGCCAGTACTTATCTCCAACTATGATCCCATCAATCTTGATAAGCTTCCCAGACTCCTCTGATGAAAAGCAGAGCTATAACATAATGCTGCCACCACCATGTTTGACTGCTGGAGTTATATAATAAATATTAATAGCTAATGCAAAGGGTCATTAAAATGCGACAAAAAATGTGAAAACTGTGAAATTGTCTGAATACTGAATTGCTTATTCCACTGTGTTCAAGATGTTTGACTGGATTAAGATTTGGTGATTGGGAAGACCACTGCTTTACGCTGAATTCACTGTCACGTTCACTGAGTCATTCCAGGGCTTTCAAACCCTTGTGGCAGGGCGTCAACAGTGCAGAACATATCCTGTCCTCCCATCAGTGTGAAACAGCAGGAACCCAGACCAGGTGATGTTCAGGTGATGTTCTTCCAATCCTCCAGAGTCTGGTGTCTGTGTTCTTTAGACTAGTTGTACTCAGTTCTTAGTTGACTGACTGTAGCCCATCTGTTACTCTGCACAAGCCTGGTCAGCCTCTGTCCGCCACATTTATCAATGGTCTGTTTCCAACCACAGGAGGACCGCTCTGCTGTTCCTGATACACTGGTGTCCACTACCATGTTGCTTTCAAAGTCACTTAAATCTTGGTCTTGCCCATTGTCCCTCTGAATTGCACAAACATGTTCGGTAGATACCAGCCTTACTGCATAAAGGAGCACTGTCTGCACATATATTATGATGCTGTCAACATTTGAGAAGTCAATTACAAGGAAGGGCAGCTGTACCTAATAAACTGGACACTCAGTGTATCTGCTATATTTTGTACTTAAAAATCTAAAATGTCTACAGCAAAATTGTGATTTGAGAAGAACAAAATGCAGAATCACCCTGAAGATTTTTTTTTAATACTTCATTTAAATTTACTATAAATTGTTAAATAACTTTAGATTTAAAATGCTAAATAGGTCAGAAAAATACTGACAGAAGAAGCTGACAGACGCACCAAACCTGAATACCATCATGGGCCCATTCTAAATGATTTTACTAACTGGTGCAACGAGTTCTCCCTAAAGGTAAATGTTTCAAAAACAAAGGAACTGGTTATTGATTTTAGAAAAAATACCACACCCCATCAACCCACTATAATTGATGGTCAGCCTGTTGAAATTGACGATACCTATAAGTACTTAGGACTGGTCACTGACAAAAACCTAAAATGGGACAAATGTTGTGACACTATCTATAAAAAAGGCCAACAGAGACTTTTCGTTCTTAGAAAACTTAGCTACTTTAAGGTACCTAAAACTATTCTTACACTTTTCTACAAATCATTCAATGAAAGTGTCTAAACATACTGCTTCACTTGATGGTTTGGCAACATAAGTACCGGTAATTGTAATAGGCTGTGTAAATTAGTGAAAATAAGTGGCAAAATTATCTGGAATAATCAAATCAACTTAAGCATCCTTTACAAACAGAGGCTGACTAAGAAAGCCAAAATCATCATGGATTGTGTTTCACCCCCTCCATTGCAAATTCACACTTCTCCCATCTGAGAGAATCCTCTGTGCCCCCAGGTGTAAAACCAACAGACTCAGGAAATCTTTCATTCCCACTGCAATTACACTCTTAATGCAAAGTAACTACCTTGTCTCTTGCTTCTTATATCCTGTAACACTACTGTATTCTCTTCCCTTTTGGTGATGTTTGTCATTGTGTTGTGTTTGTGCCGTAAAACTAATTTCCCCTAGGGGACAATAAAGCTTGAATTGAATTGAATAAAAACCGCTCCATCATTTCAGCAATTAGAGCTGTTTACTTACTGTGCAGGGGTTAACTGTTAAGGCGCTCTTGATGAACTGAAACTGCAGAATGCTGCCCTGCTTTAAGCAGTCTTTCTTCTCTGTTTCACTACTTGAAGACCGATCGCCTTCACTGCTGATCACCCACAGGTGGTACCCCTCCGCACCCCAACTCTGCAGGAAATAGAAAAGCTTACTCACACAGAGAACTCCCAGAAAGTTACGTTTTATGTAGCACTAATGCCAAACTGCATAGCTTTTTTGTTTAAAAGAAAACTTGGCATTGTCCGATATTCTAACTGCCTGCTACACTCAAACCTGTGACATAGAGTAGCATAAGTAAGAAGACGTGCATATTCTCATTGAGTAAAGCTTGTATTTCTACAGCCACAGGTGATACTTATTACTTTTAATTTAATGAGTTTTTTGTCGGATGAGCTTCTTTCAAGAAAAAAAGCTGTATTGTTTCACTTCTAGCATTTCTTGAACTAAGTTAAAATGCTCTTATGAACAATGCAGTGTAGGGACTTCCCACAATTTTACTGCTAATATTAATCCAAACATGATTTTACATGCATCTGAAATATTGCAGTTTTTATACTATAAAACAAAGCACACTTGCCTCACAGTCAACACATTAATATCAACAATTACTGTATATCCATCTTTAATCTAAAAAGATCTCAAAATGCTGTCCACATACAAGAGAACCCACTTAAATCACTCTTAGACACAACGTTTGAATTAAGGAAGAACCTTTAGGTAGGTTTGACTGTAAAACACCAGAGTGGAATTTTACCTAAGACACCAGGATTAAAAGCCTTAAGAAAAGAGTCCTATGGGATCTTTGATTTAACATCTCAGCAGAAGGATGGCACCTCACACAGCACTGTTACCATACTAGCACTTTATTTTGAATATCATGGACCAGGGGAAAGAGTGCAACTGGTCCACCACACCACTTACAACAGCACCTTGGTATTCCTCCTGAGGAGGCCCATCGACTTATCTTTAGAAATCTAATGATACAGGGTAGTTATATGAGTAATTATTTTTTATTTAAGGGGAATTTAAAGCCATAAACAACTTACCATAGAGATGATCCTTATGGGTTCTTTTTTTGTACCATCTGAACGATAGCTATGAAAAAGAAAAACAGAGTAAAAGTAAAAGTTTTAACAGAGTACTATGCAACTGAAGAAAAAAGGTAAAACTAGGTCCTACACTTTATTTAGAATATAAGTTCTCTGAAGAATTTAATAGATTTTCTTTATTCTTTAATAAATAAGAACAATATAACAATGAAAGTCACAGTGCAGAATTATTACAGTGGCAATCTAGCAGCCACATTATATAATCACTTCTCAATAGTGTCAGTTAAGGTGTTAGTGTGAACACACTAGGTTTTTCCAAAGACTACCAATTAAACAACCCAATGTACTCAATGTGCAACCCATGACAGAGTTAACCAAGTCAAAATTAAAGCAGTTAAAACTTATTTAGGTTTTCCAGGGATTAAGGTTTTAATATTAAAAGTATAACCAGTCCATTGTTACACAGTACAGGGTACCATGGAAGGCACTAGAGAAACAGAGGGCACACTCACGCAAAATCTTCCCCAAGTGTACAGATAAGGTGAGCCCCAAACACACTCCACAGAGAAAGGCCTCCACACTCCCATGTCACCATGGCAACGCTGCAGTCAGGTGACCATCGGATCAGCTTCACAGGCCCTGTTTTGTTCCAAATGTCTGCAGCATACAAGAAATATTTTATTTTTTTCCCTAATGTTTTGTACTAAAGCTTGATGAAGAAAAAAATGTTTTTTCTTCTAATGCTAATTATCTTTTGGACATGTAATCATCTTTAATCAGAATGCCCGAAATTATTTTACTCCTATTGTTTTGGAAAACTTTTATAATAATTTACAGAACATGTTGTTTAAGGACTTCACAAAAAATACAACAGTATCTTTGTAATAAAAAGCAATATTGGGCACATACTGCACTTGTTTGCATTAACTCAGTATGACGTTGCATGTGTTTTGTGTTGGATGAGCTTCTTATTAGACAAAAATCTGTATTGTTTCACTTCTAGCATTTCTTACTGCTAGAAGTATGTATGGGTATGTATAACTATTAAGTTAAAAGCTACGAGTATAAAGAAACAAAAATTGAATGTGAATTTAATTGTGAATGAAATGTGCCTTTAATGTAAGAGGCTATTAATACTATATAATAATACATTAATAGCACTGCTTTTAACTCTGTGAATTAAAAACAAGCAAATATGAGTTGCCACACAAATAAAAAGCTCTAAGCAAAAAAAAATGTATCCTGACATCTTAATTTTATATATAATTTATTCAGCCTTATGTAATAATAATAATAATAATAATAATAATAATAATAATAATAATATCTGCATGGTTAACAGTCTTGAGATTAATTTAGAAAAGAGATGTTTTGTCTGTGTAGCCTTCTTCAGGTGTCCACACCTGAAGAAACTTCCACACCTTAAAACATTGTGTTTCTTTTCTGCATGCTGATACAGCTACCTCCTTGAACTTCATTCTTGGACTGATTTAATTGAGAAAGGACTGCTTTATGTCACCAATAACCTGTAGGTGGCAATGCTCTACCATATTCATCAGGTAAGCTACACAGAACTCAAGATTTTAAAAAGGGTTAAAAATGAACATAAGAAAAGAAAGCTCAAATCCATTTCATGTTTCTTTATAACACAGATACTTTAATAAAAGCCATTTAAACAATCAAAATAGACTCCTGAACAAAGAGCATAACATTTTACTAAAACATATGTGGAAGGTGTAAATGAACTCAAAGCCCTGCAGAAGAGACAGAGAGATCCTGGACTTACCAGGGTAGTGTTTTGGAGTTAACTCAAGTTTGTGTGAGAGCTGCATTGATGCTGTGGTGCTGTCTATCGTGTAAACTAAAACAGAGCCACTGCATAAGACAGAAAAAAAATTAACATCAATAAATTCAAGTAACAAGGTCCTGTAATTAATATTCACACCACTGTGCTGGAAATAACTTAAATCCATCGACTATATCTAAACCATTAGCACTGTAAGGCATATCTCTTAAAGCAACTTTAGACATCTGTGTGCAAATGACTATAGTTACAATTTCACTCCCAATATTTACAAAGACAACAACGCTGAACTAAAGGCATTTTTAACAGAGGGGATTAAAGTATCCTTACATTATTGTTAGCAGTTTCCACTTTGTATATCATCTTAAGACGTTTTTGTGCTTTTTACATGTCACAAATGCAGAGGCTGGTCCTTTGGGATTATGCTTTATTTAAAATGTTTTTCTCTACAAAGTAGTTCTCCAAGGCACACAAAAATGAATATTCAAACACCTTGTCATAATTTATAACAGCTAAAGATTTTATATACTTCATATTTACTATTAGAATGTCCTGAAGATAAGCTTCTTTCACAATTTTAGAGTTTTCACAGCAGCCATAATAGACAAAAAAATCTTATTAAAATGATCAAGAAACTACGATGATGTGTCTTTTCCATTTTCCTTACATAAATTTTATTTGTAGGGGAAAAACATACATAATTTTTTTTTAAATACCACAGACACAGGAAACAGGCTGCTATTTTCACACTTAGATCAAACATAAAGTATATAATTCTTTTCAAATGTTCTGAAAACACCCCCATGAAGCACAAAACACAAACACTGCATTCCATAACTGATATCTGGAAAGAGCTAATAGAGTTCACCCATTTCTTGTCATCTCAACATGATGATTCGTGAACAGTGTATAGCTGGTATGAGGTCTTCTGGCTAGAACTGGGCAGCAGCAACTCTAAAAACACATCTACCACACATTGAGAACATGAGGTGAAAAATGAATTGACTCATGTGACAAAATGGCACAACATAAGATATTTTCTGAATTCCAAATCACTGTTGGGACTTTTAGAGTCAGAAGTTTGTGCTTTTAAATTGTCACACATGACATAATAAGGAATACCATGTGTACTTCACGTCATTAACACATAAAAAAGGGGAGGCTGTAATTCAGCTTTTTATCTGCAGATGTTGTTGTCCTTGAGTGTGAAATTAATTTGCACTATGAATAGCTTCTTGTACATACTCAGTATTGCAACACCATGTTAAGGCAGCTATATCACTGAGCATGCTAGAAAAAGCACATTTTATCTTTATGTTTTTAACCAAGTGTTGTTTGTTTTGCCAAAGGACCTATGTGCACAACAAAATGCTTATCACTAATAAAAAATAAAGCTAGACATTTTGTTGGCTAAAAGCGTTTAGGTTAGAGGGATAATGCATTTGAATAAAAATAGTCAAAGCTTGAAAATTTTTATTTGGACTCACCTTGCGCATCCAAAGGCCATTAGCCTGTACTTGTTATTCACTGCCACACATGTGCCATCTACAACATCGGGCGCCCACACACCCTGTAGCTGCTAAGACAGAGTACATGAGAAGTCACACTTGGAGTAAGCTTCTAGACCATTTTCCACAACACAACATCATAGAACACATTCTTGTGCTAAATTAATCTGAGGAGGAAACTTCCATCAGTGGCTTGTTTTTTCTTTTTTACATTTTATTTCTCATATATTAAAGATGAGCTTCCGACTGCATGTGACTCAGGGAAGAGCCAAGGATATCCGTACACTCATGAATAAAATTCTTTTGAATTGCTCAGTGATAACCAGACATTTTTCACCTTGAATTTTTTTCATGATGAGACCGATTAGCACAGACTATAGAAGCCATCAAGATCGAAACAACAGAATGACAGGAAAGGTTGGAAGCTGACAGACACACCAATGCCTTAGCTGTAAAATTTAAAAGCATAAATCTCTATGAATGAAAATGTCAGATAAAAAGAGTAAAGGAATTTGTCCTGAAACATCTGTACCTGTCACAATGCTTATGCACAATTCGTGTTATTGATAATTAGAAGATAAAAAGATAATAAAGGCTACAGTCTTTAAGACCACAGTTGTTCTAATCACAGTTCTTATTTGTAAAGGCATAATATTACAAATTAATGGAGACTATCAAATTAATCTTGCTCATTTGGTTGCTGCTACCAAGCTGTTGATTCAAGCTGTTTCTTGAAGAATACTAAGGAATCTGCTTTACACATATGTCATCCTCTTGAAAGGAAGGTTTTAACATAAAAGACACCAAGTTCCTGTGTAAGAATTGTAAAAATCCTTTTGTAAAAACGTCGAAAAGGTTACAAATGAGAGGATGCCATTCAGCCCATCTTATTCACTTGATTGCTGACAGGTCCTGGGGAATCTACTTTAAAAGCTTGTTCCAGAGAATGATATCCATAAATGTAAAGATGTGACATCTCTTTTCAATCATGAAAGCATTTTTAATGAAAAATTAAGTGGATATTCCATTTCTGAAACCGCTAGTATTTCAGACCACCGAAGAGCTTTAAGCTTTAAGCTTGGTTTAAAGTATGTTGGAAGAGACAAACCATTTTTAGGAGAATAAATCCAAATTTAGGAGATTAAATCAGCTCCTGAGTCTAGAAAATGGTAGCCTGACTTGCATAATTGAAAACCTGACTGAACTGAAACCCAAATTACTCCTAATTAAAAAGTATATGTCTATTCACAACACAGTTGTGAACCTACTGTAATTCTGACAATCCCTTATCTTCCTTGTTGGTAACCTAAAGTCTAACTCAGGGCTAATATAATGTGCACCAAAAACTTTTAATAACTTTTTTTTTAATAACAGTATATGCACATTTGCTAAAAATTCTACTTGACCATCTAGCCCACTTTACCATGTGTTCAAAAGCGGTTAATGTTAGAAATGTCTCACTACAAGAAAGAAAAGAAATGATTGTGCAGTACTGATTGTTAAGGGAGACCGATGCAGTGTCTTGCTTCACGGACAATCACACTACAGAAAATTACTGAACATCGGCAGAGAATAAGAAGAGTTGGGAAAAGCTGCACTTGCTGAAGTCAAGTGGTGTTGCTTTATTAGCAAAAAGAGAAACTTTATTTGCAGGGCCCCATGCAAAGGTAGATGAAACATTTTCTACAATTTTCAGTATTATTTTTGAATTATTAATATTTTTAAATGTTTGATCCTAACAAGTATCACTAAAAGCAAAAATCTGAAAGATAATATCTGGCACTGTATTAATGAGTCATTAACTACGCAGTTTTAACACATTTGTGTAGGAACCAGACTGCATAGAAAGTGATGTTGATTTTACTCTGTGTGTAACAGTTGCCATCATTTGAGAATGATTAGCAATAAGGCACATTAGTTATACAGCAGTTGCTGTATGTCATATATATTGCTAATTTCCAAGACAGTATACAGTTTTGCTCCAAAATAATTTTGTTCTTGTTGTTTAATGAAACACTTAGATGATAATGTACCATCAAATACTTGTAATATATAATATGTATAATGTATATAATATAATCTATAATATATATAAAATACTTTTGCTTACCATGTGGTATTTAGTTGGCAATGGGTTGTGAATGTGACATAAGTTATTCAGATTTCTAATTTATTTTGTGAGAACCAGTACTGAAACTTAAATTGAAAAAGAAATCCTTATAAAAAATCTTAAAGTTTCACCTGACAATTAAAACATCTGTATCCATTTTATATAATAAATGTTGACATTAAACATTACAAAATGAAATGTTTTAAGGGGAAAGGGGTGTTTATCACTTTGAGTAATGGTTTCAGGACACATTTGAACTCACGTTTCACATTCATTGGTAGTTGTTGGGGAAAAAAATACAAAAGGTCAACAGATGTAAAAATAATAAACCTTAATAACCTTGGTTCAGCCTTCTACTTAGACCATTCTTTTAGAACAATATTGTGATGGGTGCATAAAATTATTCAGATATGTAAGGAGTCTTACATCTGCAGTAAATCTGTTTGCCACTGGAGTGATGAAGCCTAGACGACCATCTTCAAAGACAACTGCAAAGCCATCGAGTGTCATGCAATACTCCATATCCCGAATGTGGACACCTTCCAAATCCAGAGAAGGACCTCCTACACACAGAACACAACAATTGAGAAGAATGGTTATTGTTGAGGTTTTATTTAATTTTAACCAGACACAGTAAATTGGTTTTAAACAATGCATCAAAGTAAATCTACTGAGCTCACTGGGCTGTAAAACTAAAATACTCCTTTTTTAATATCACAATTCAAATTTTCTTAAATCAATTAAAAATTTAAAGCATTTTTGTGTTTAAATTATCCGCTTAAAGCAAAAATTGTTTTGTGTTTCCAAAACATTCACAACATTTAAACACCTTCCTCACATTGTTCCATATAAATACGAAGTCTCAGACGAATCTCATTTCTTTTTGTTTTTCTAAGCTTTGTGAATAGCTTTAAACCCATAAGGCTCTACGTAAATTAATTTATGATTCTTAAGCTGGCCATTGAAGTTTAACTCTATATGCATCACAAAGTGCTGTTGTAGCTTAAATATTTTAAGCTTGAATAAGCTGAATTTACCATCTCTCATATAAAAATATATTTATAAGATTAACTAAATCAGCAAGATTTGACTTAAGTGGTCATAAAAGTCTTACTAGCCCTTTTAATATACACATGCATGGACCTTGGAAATTACTGAAGGCAGTAGATAAGGTGGTCAAAACACGTGGTTCCTTACTGGCATAGAAGAAAAGCTTCTGCTTAATATGTGCCAGAAAAGAGCTATATAAGTGTAAGGAATTATTATTAATAATGTATTTTAGAGAACATTATCACCATGTTATCAATCTGAAATCTGATTGACTTCACTTGGAGAGTCTAGTACTAGAAACAAGGATAAATGAATGGTCAATGAACTTCATTGTATCATTACTAGGAAATATATTTTTAGGTTAGATAAGTACTGGATTAGATCATTACAATTAATATACATTAAGCTAAATGAATTTGTAAAAATGGCTATTTTAAACAGCACTTGTGTCTGTAACACTACTTATGAGAACAGTATCACTGAATACACCTACAGATGCAGCCATTCAAAATGGGTGAGGTATTTCGCGGCACACAACAACACGCCCACCGGGGTATCACGCAGTTCACGTGTGTCACGTGACTAACTATCCGGCGTCGCCTTGTAAAACCGCCAGGGGGAGCTTAACCTCTCATGTACA